GAGAGAGAGAGAGAGAGAGAGAGAGAGAGAGAGAGAGAGAGAGAGAGAGAATACAGCGAATATAAACAGATTAGAATAGGGGTGAGGCTAGGATGAGTTATGTCACCAGACCTCTTTAACATACAGTGTAACATTCCTAAGAGCATATAATATAGGTGAATGTTCAGGTTTTATAGGGAAATTGCGAAAATATAACTGACATCAGATTATACTGATGGCACAGTTCAGAAAATGGACCTTCAATCTCTTCAACATTCTACGGAAAGTGATCGAAGGCAAAGGGTTATTGTTGATGAGAAGAAAACAAAATGTATGAAGATATCACAATTTTCTTAAACTCTATAAATCTTACTTGTAATCTCATAAACGAAGGCGAAAAGGTCAAACAATTCAACAGTTTAAATGTCTAGGGTATATAATTACTTCTGGGGTAAAAGAAAAAAATCATAAGGGACCTGAAAATCTGTAATTGCGTGTGTATAAGTCAAATGTTGCTATACATACGCAATTGCGAGCACAGAAATCAAATGTTGCTATACGCACGTAATTATGTGTTTAATATTATTATAAACACGTTGAGTCTGCACTGTGGCAGGGTCAGACTGTCGTACCGAGCTGGAACAAAGGACACTGAATCTACAAGAATGGCGACTATTGAGTGATTTGGAAAAAAGCCACCAAAAGTTACATTGTATTATGTTGCTATGCAACCTCACGTTTTCTTTTTTCTGAGGCAGTTTTCAGCCTGTGCTGACAATCTGAGGAATCCAAAAGTCTGAAAATTAACAGAACAGTTGTACAGGCTGCGTGGAAGTTTCTGAACTTTTTATCTCAAGAATAAGGTCCTGGAGTGAAGACTCAGGTGATTTATCAATTCTTCTCCTCTCGCCTAAGCCTGTTTAGGCGCGTCACAAAAAAGGGGAAACATAATTCTGAGTATTTTGAGTGGCAAGCTTAAAGAAGAAGGAAATTGACTCAATGTGCTAGCAACGTTCAAATCCATGATTGACTTTGAGGACTACTATTACTATTACTAGATAATTTGACTACATATTAGGTATAGAGAACTGTCAACAATGTTAGTAAGATCAATAATAAAGGAACAAGCCCATGGGTTGAAATATATCTATTAAGAAAACATTACAAACAATGCAAGATTTAGATATAGCGACACATAGTAGTTAACCTGAAAATGATTACTAGAATCAAATTAACGTACATTACCAAAACTCAGGACGAATATCAAAATAACATCTCACCACAGATACACTACCAATGAATCAAGAAAAAGGGATAACGAAATACATGCTCACTCGTTCTGACATCACGGAAACAGACAGCCACCTCTCAGAATGAAGGTATCTGGCGAAGTGGTGTTCTACAATGCCAAAAAGGTACAGACAGCCGTTCTTCTTTCTCTCAAGCACAAAAACCTGCATTTTAAATTCAAAAGAATAGCATTCTCACGAAGTGCGTTCAGGTACAGTGTGAGAATTTTTAAAAAACCAAAAAAAAAAAAAAAATCAACGCCAAAGAACGATATTGTATTGAATTGGAAAGTGAACATGTAGAAAAAGTAAAGTACACAAATTAATGCCAAAGTATTCCATGCATCCATGAAAAATTTTACAGGAAAAACGAACTCCGCGCAAGGGAAATGCTAAAAGATTAACATCATAATGAAAAATGAGGGCATATTGCAGTCAGGTGAGTAGAATACATAGAAAATCTATATTCTGACGATAAGAGAGTCAAGGTTCCAGAGAATTCAAAGACAGGAGACATAAGTGGACGAAAAATACTAAAAGATGGAAGTCTCAGCAGCCTATAGAGAAATGAAAAAATGGAAAGGCATTTGGTCAAGATAACACTTGTATTGAACTTATCGATGTGCTCGGCGACAAGGGTATTATATCGGGTATAGAAATCCTGACGAAAATGAGTCTATGAAAAAGGAACTAATGTAAAGAAAACATGGTGCATTGCAATTCATAAACATGATACGAGCATCACTCGCATATGACAGAACTAAGCATGCTGCCTACGTTCCCTGTACTCTGCTGTTGTCCACCCCAGGCACGTTTGGCGGTACAACACCCCACATAGGTCGCAAGAGATCATATTCTCTTCTTCGCTGTCGAACAGTCTACATTTGCAGTGCACCTGAATGCTCATCAGTTCCAGTCGCTCACAGTGTTTCTGGGCAGATTTTACTGATGGAAATGATGACATCCTGCCTTTCTGCAAGCAGTCAACAAAGAGGGCACGGAGTTGACACCACAAGGCGTT